CGCCAAGTCGCCTCCCCTCCGGGCGAGGCAGCGGGGTCACCAGGCGGCTCCGAGCCCGCTGCCCTCCCGCCGCGCCCGCGCGGGCCCAGCTCCCCGTCTCCCCGCCCCAACGGTCCCCGCGCCCGCGTCTCACCTCTCCACCCACTCCCTCAGGAAGCGCATCTCCTCGGTGTGCAGGACGCTCGGATCTTGCTTACACATTTTCACGAAGGCCCGAAGCTCGTTTACTTTGCGGGGATCCATGGTCGGCAGACCGCGGGAGGCTGCTGAGGAGGCTGCGGCCCAATCCCAGGCGCGGGCGCGGGCGCTGGCTCGGCGAGACGTGCAGGAGGGGGCGGTTGCCGCGAGGCAGAACTGACTAGAACCTCCCCGGCCGCTGGCTCCGCCCCCCGACGGTCCCGTGACCCTGGGTCCTTCGCTTGCTCATTCCTGCCCTTCTACCTCTGCTCCTGCGCACTGGCTGGAATCTTCTAGAAGTGTGGCTGTTCGCGCTCTTGCCTGCTTCCCTACACAAACATTCCTATACTGTTCAACCAGTTGCCAGGATGGGTCAAGACATCTGTGTGGACGCTTTTAAACAGGCAGAAGACACTAGCGCCTCCGGAGAGCCACACAGAATCGATGTTTTGTGAATGTGGGTGTTAAGTGGAGCACCACGCTCTGAAGAAAAAAGGGCCACGGGCCTCAGGGCAGGCTCGCGTGTGACGTCAGCATTCTGCGACGCCCAGAATGAAAGCCCGCTAGGGGCGCCCGCCGGAAGGGGCGGGGTCGCTAGTCTGGTGTCTTGGTGACGCGGCTCTGCAAGTGTCTGCTTTTTGAGCCGATTTCCTCTTTTTCTGACGCGTGAGCTGGCAGTTATGCCTTGGCTTCTCCCAACTCTCAAGCTGCTTCCCGCCGTCCCAAGCGCACGCGGTTTCTCAGGTTAGACTTTCCTCCCGCCAGGTCCCCTCGGGGGGACCCGAGTTGGTCTCAGTCGGTCCCTGATTCTGCCAGCCCTTCTCCTGCTGGGGCCTCCGAGGACTTCATATTTACCCGCTACTCCTGGCAAAGGGTGGGCCTTGTGTTCTTTCTACATGAGGTATTGGGAAGCTGAAATGACTGCCCAGAGAAGTGTGTGCCATCCCCCAGAGGGACTGTCTTCAGTTACTCGGACTCAGAAGTTGTGTCAGTTGTCATCGCATTTGTTTAGGTGACAAAATCAGCTCTTGTTTCTGTTGAGTCAACGTAAAATCCTATTTTCCTGTGTTCAAAGAATTGATTCGGGAGCTGGCCCCAGAATGCACGCGAAAGTGTTTATTACAAATCTTTTGGGCAGTTCCGCTTAGAAGAGCTGAGAATACTCTGGGGCTTTTTGTACCTGAAACTTCTTGTAATGACAAGATGAAGGAGCCCAGGAACGGGGGAAACCCTTGTTTTGTCGATGAGCGCTATTTGCAATCAGAAATCTGATAACTGTAAAGTGTAGCGAAAACTGAATCATCTACCTTGCAGGCAGATCTGCCACTGGATCGTATTTCAATTTGGGGAGGCAATATGTGAACCAGAGCATGTGATATTTGACAAAAAGCTGCGTCTTGGCATTTGTTTATGATGATGTACTTGGATTCACCGAAAGTGAGATGATGAATGAGATGATTCACCGAAAGCGAGATGAAATGTTAATTATACTTACTTCCTTTTTTTGTAAAAAATAAATCACCATCCAGTGGGCAAAACTTACTCTTCAGTTCTAATACATACTAAAGCAGCATGCAGAAATCTGTCCTGGTTGAAGTAAGTGAAAAGATATGGGATAGTTCAGTCTCTCTCTCTCTTTTTTTTAAATTTTATTTTATTTTATTTTTTGTCTTTTTGAGGCAGGGTTTTGCTATGCAGTTCAGGCTGGCCTTGAATTCACTTTGTAACCCAGGCTGGCCTCAAACTCATGGCGATCCTCCTGCCTCAGCTTCCCCAGTACTGGAATTACAGGCATGTGCCCGACCCCATGCCTGGCTAAATTCACTCTTAATCAGAGGCCACAATCTAAGGTTTTGAGCAGGACCATCCTTTGCTTGTGATCTTTGGATTTGTTGAAGCTTAGTGTAAACTTCATTATTCAAGATTTATGACTACGTACTGAATCTGGTTGTGGTGGTGCATGCCTGTAATCCCAGCACTTGGAGGCTGATGCAGGAGGGTCACGGTGAGTTCCAGGCCAGCCTGGGCTACAAACATGAGTTCAAGAGAAGCCTGAATGACATAACAAAACCCTGTCTCAAAAAGACAAAACAAAGAAAAAGAAAAGCAGGCTAGGAGAAAGGAGCCAATGTGTAGAGGGAACATGTGCAGAAGCACAGAACTCTGAAACAGTGGTCTGTACTAACTATTACAGTCATTTGGTATAGCTAGAGAAGCTTTTTTGAAATATGTTCCTGGGCATATTAATAGGTGTAACAGCACAATGAATCTATGTTCACACATTTACACTGCATAGCAGGGAGATGTATTTGGCAGTAATTTGCAAAATGAACTTACCCATGGAGCCCCTTTTCTGTGTGAATTTTGAACTGGTAACCCTGGAACACATTTTGGGAACAGTTGGACTATAGCATACATGTGTGATAGAAAACCAAGTTGGGAGGAAAACCTAATAGCTTGTTCATGGAGGGGCTTTTAGATTACGTTAAGAAACAGTGGACTCTTCTTCTAAGCAATGGGAAACCATTGATATTTTGGTTTTGTTTTTGTTTTTGTTTCTGTTTTTTTCCAGTACCAGGAGTCGAACTCACGACCTCATGCTTGCCAGGCAGGTGCTGTGCTGCTGAGTTAAATCGCCAGCCCCAATTGATATATTTTAAGTGTTGCATAAAATGATTAAATTTAAATTTTTAGTTCTCTGTTAAGAGTGGAGAAATGGACTAAACAGTTACATAAGTAGCATTTAGAATATCCCAAGCTTTTATGATTTTAATTTCTGAAAACATTTTTAGGTACTGGGGTCAGGGATATAGCTCAGCAGCACAGCACCTACCTGGCAAGTACAAGATCCTGAGTTTGATTCTTGGTTCCCCCCAAAATTGAAACATTTTAGATATTAATTGTGCCCAGCCTTCTCTGTGATAAATTACTTTTCCTCCCCACGTGCATACCCACTGGAAAAATAAATAATACAAAGCAAAACAAAATAGTAATATTGTACCAGGTGTCGTGGGGCATTTCTTTAATCCATGCACCTGGGAGGCTAAAGCACAAAGATCACCATGAGTTTGAGTCCAGCCTGGGCTACAAAGTGAGTTCCAGGCCAGCCTGAATTACATAGCAAGACCCTGTCTCAAAAAAACAAAAGACAGACAGCCAGACTGCTTTGAGAAATCCTGGTTAATACTGGCTTAAAACAAATTGTGGTAGCTGGGCGTGGTGGCGCACTCCTGTAATCCCAGCACTCAGGAGGCTGAGGCAGGAAGATCGTTGTGAGTTCAAGGCCAGCCTGGGCTACAAAGTGAGCTCCAGGTCAGCCTGAACTGCATAGCAAGACCCCGTCTCCAAAAAAAAAAAAAAAAATTTGTAAAATACCCATTACATAAAATTTAACCATGTTAAGTAATAGTATTGAGTATATTCACATTGAAACATTTGTTTTGCCAATCTGAAGCTTCATACCCATTAAGTAACTACTTCCCTCTTTTCAGTTCTGATAATTACTATTCTACTTTTCTATCACTATGAATTTGACTACTTTAGATACCTCATTTATTGAATTAGCATAATATCCTGAAGGCTCATCTATGTTGTGGCATATAACACGATTTTCTTTTTTTAAGGCTGTCCCCCCATTGGGTATGTGTAGTTTATTCATCTGTTTCTGGAATTTGGCTTACTTTCACTTCTTGACTATTGTAAATAGTATAACATGTTTATACAAATATAAATCTGGCTATTTTTAATTTAAAATACTTATATATCATTAAGTTATATATATCAAATCCTTTGCTTCCAAGGCATCTCCCGAATAATTTCATAGTCTGAATCTACGTATCATAGTACATTTTTTATCTCCTAATGTTATATGTATTTCACAAGTTTGTTCAGAGGTTTTAATTAGGTCAAAAAATGACATAGGTCATAAACTCTGCTAAAGACAGATTTCTAAAATGAGTGTGGTGGTGCACGCCTGTAATCCCAACACTTGGGAGGCTGAGGCAGAAGGATTACTGAGTTTAAGGCCAGCCTGGGCTGCATAAGCAAGTTCAAGGCCAGACTGCACTACCTAGTGAGACCCTGCCTAAAAAAAGAGACATGATAAATAAGGTAAAGTAAAAAATACTGCAGGTTTCCAATCTTAACATCACCAGTTGTCATCACAAATTCATCTTTCTCTGACACTCCTAATCCAAATAACTACTAACCAAATGTCCACAAACCTGCTTAAAATGTTAAAGACACACCCTTACACAATATTAAACAAGGGTTATTCTTAAAACTGTGACTAACCAAAACACAGACTCATGTTCAAATGTTATCATAATATGTCTGAAGAGTCATTTTAGTGATTCCTTTTGGCTGACTTTTGTACCTCTTTGTGCTTCATTTTTTCCCTCTTACCACCTTCTTTGAATCCTACTGAGAAAATAGAGGAACCCCAGTTGCTAGGGACCCAAGGTATAGCTTGCTCATCATTCTTCATGAAAGTATACTGAGACACATGCTTGGGGCTGTGGGAATTTGATGAATAATCATTGAATGAATGTTTTCTCCAGCTGTATTCTTCTGCAAAGTCCTCTTTGCCTCCCATGTCATTTACAAGGAGAAATTTCAACTCAAGATCATCTTTGGCTTCTCTTTCTTGATCATTCTCAATATTTTTGTTTGAATTAATATTTCTGTCATTATCAATCTTGCCTGAAGTTGTAACATACATGTAACTGCCCATCTTGGTATCATCAAATGCCAAGGAAGGGAATGAAGTAAGACTCTCATGCCCCAGTGAACCGTAAGACTATATCCTGTATCAAATGAAGAAAATGTCTCAAAAACTGAATGTTCACTGGAAGTACAGTAAAAGAATCCTGCACCTCCGTTTGTGTTTCTGCTTCCATTTGAGCTTCTTGGACTATTTAAAAGATCTTCAAGAGAGTCTTCAAAGAAGTCAAATGAAAATGTGTCCTTTTCACCAAACATTTCTTTAAGACATCCTCTGGCTTACAGAATGTGGAGCCATAATCTTGCTCATCGTCAAAGTCACTTCCACCTCTGCGATTTAACCCTAGCTTGCCATAGTTATCAGAAATGTCCCGCTTTTCATCATTTGTAGTACTTCACATGCTTCAGCTACTCCTTTGAAATTTTTTTTTTGTACTGGGAATTGAACTCAGGATCTTGCGCTTGCCAAGCAGGTACTGTGCCGCTGAGCTGTATCCCTGGCCCTGAATTTCTTTCTGCTGCTTCTTTATTTTGTGGATTTTTTTCAGGATACCATTTAAGTGCTACTTTATGATAAGCCTTTCTAATATCCTCGTGTGAAGCATATCTCTGTACTCCTAGAACTTCATAATAGTCCACTGTGTTTTAGCAGATTATTGGAAATGGATGCACTGTTGTTTCCTTGAAGCTCAGGCTTAGGCTCTGTCACCATCACGGATCACTGTTGAGAGACATTCGGAGTCTGATTATGTAGCAAGCAGAGTTACAGGCCTATGTCAGAGAGGGCTACATTATGCTTTCATGCCAGGGTAAGGGTCAGGACTGGACCTTCCACAGGGAGCTAGTTCAGAGTCACACAAGATAATCCTGGGACCTCTGCTATTTCCCTGGAGAGCTAGTAAACCATGTGAGAAAAAGTATTCAAGCAGTTGACATTTATTTTAGTCAGTTCAGTAAGAGATACAAATAGGTAATTGAATCACAATGTAATAAGGGCTGTAGTGGGCGAAGCACTGGATGCTAATCAGTCTTAGACACCTAAGGCAGACTAGGGCATCAGGGACAGCAAGTGGCCTAATGCAAGCTTTCTGCAGGCCAGTACTGTGAGTCATCTTAGATGATGGTATCTTTGTTCACCTAGAGTTTGCTATAAAATGTGTAAAGATTTTGGAAATTATGCATTTGTGTATTCATTATATAATTATTGAATGCCTACTTAGTGCCAGGCACAGTTTTAGCCACTAATGTTAAGAGTAGTGAACAAAAGATGCCAGTTTTCGTGGTAGCTGTATAAGGTCATGAATAATGAGCAACCAAGCTGCAGACGGGACATGTGTAATCCCAGCCACTTAAGAGGCTGAGGCAGGAGGATTACAAGTTGGAGACCAGCCTGGGCAATTTAGGGAAACCACATCTCAAAAAATAAGTGTTATGGGGTATAGCTCAGGGGTAGAGTACCCTTGAGTTCAATCCACAGCACAGCAAGTCCTCAACTTACGAGCCAGGTCCGTTCCAAGAGAGTTCATAAGTCAGATTTATTTGTAAACGGACAGTGAGTCTAATACAGTACACCTGTGAAAGCTGGCAGCTCGAGTGTTCCTAAGTCAGGGACTTACTGTGCGATGAAAAAGGGAAGCAGGAAGGAAATAAACAGTAGTGGCTCTAAAAGGTTTCTGAGGAGATGACATTAGAGCTGAAACCTAAATGATGAAGAATCAGCTTTGTAGACATTTTATTTCTAGTTTGGGGGTATTACAAATAAAACTAGCATTTATTCTAATACGGTAGAAACTCATGGAGGGAAGATGCAGGTTCAGTGAGAGAGAGAGGGCGGGAGTGTGTGTGTTGCTGGGGATCCAATCCAGGGCCTTGGGCCTGCTGCACAAGTGCTGTATAACTGGGGTAGACTCCCAGCTCGGAGTTGCGTCTTCATGGGTCAGCGGCTATTATGCAGAGAAGCTCTGTTATGTGGGAAAGTAGAATTAAAGAGCATAATTAACAGTAAATTAGACCAATATTGATTTTTTTCTTTGGGGATGATTTAAATTACCCATAGGCTAGATCCAAATTTAAAAGATTTACATTCTATTCTTGGCTCGTTGTATTGTCCTAGACAATTCCCCACATCTTTCTGTCTCTGTTTTCCCTCCATTTGTATCCGTTGTACTTTCCATCATATTTATAAACACCTCAGTTAGATGATACTCTAATGAAATGTAAAACTGTGTGGTGTTTCTAGACAGACTTTTCCAGGCTGTCTGCCAGGGTTGAATATTTTTTGCTTTGCTTATTTTGCTTTGATATATTAGTTGTCAAGAAATACTGTAAAACGTTAGAAGCTAAATTTACGATTTCTCCTCTGTGTGTACTTACATGTGTTTATGTGTGGCATGTGCATGATTATATTTGCCTGCCATTGAAAATGCATAAAGTATTGAACATTATTTGAGCACCCTCTAAGTTACTCTTATGATTTACATACAGTTTTTCATCTGACACAGCATTTTGGCAAAATAACTACATATTTTGTGCTCCTAAGCAAACTTAGGTTTTGAGAGAGAAGGTAAATTGCTTAAGGCAATATAGCTTGTTAGTGAAAAATGTGATATTTAAACTTGAGTCAGATTCCAAATTCCACTTGGGTTTCTTCTGTAAACAGAGTGCTATTTCCTCTCTCTGTTTGGACCAGGACTTCAGAGTTAAGTTCTAGACATCCCACAAATATATTGAGAACCCATGATATAGAGAAAGGTAGAAAATTTAGGGGCTGGGGATTTAGCTCAGTGGCAAAAGCGCCTGCCTAGCAAGCGCAAGGTCGTGAGTTCGGTTCCCAGTACCGGAGAAAAACCAAAAAAAAAAAAAGAAAATTTAAAATTCTGCTCCTAAAAAGTAATAATTTGAGAAAACTAATTTTAGTAGAGTGTAAAAATGTAACACAGCCGGGGATGTAGCTCAGTGGCACAGTGCCTTGCTTGGCAAGCGCAAGATCCTGAGTTCCATTCCTGGTACCCCCCACCAAAAAAAAGTGTAACACAAAGAATTGCTTGTGTAATTATCCTCACCCTTCCCAGCATCTATGCCATTTTCTCTGATTCATTCACAATTAAACTTTTCAAAATTGTCTGAGTCAGGGTTTTCTCACATCCTTGGCATTCTCTCTTCAATCTGGCTTCCATCTAAACTCTGCCCTTTTTCCTTTCAAAACTTTTTTTCCCCCAGTACTGGGTATTGAACCCAGGGCCTTCTCACTGAGCTACATCCCCAGCCCTTTGTTACTTTGAAACGGGCTCACTAAGTCCCTGACTTGCCCAGATGAGGCTTGAGCTTGTGATCCTCCTGCCACATCCTCCCAGAGTACTGCGATTCAGGTGTGTACCACCACACAAATCCAGCTCACTTTTGATTCTTTAGCTTCCTAAATACCACATTCTTCTGGTTTTCCTCCTCACCTGTGCTTCTCATACTAAAATATCAAAACATCAAATTTTACTCAGTCTCCCCAAGTAGTATCCAGTCCTGAGACTTCAGATACTGTGTAGGTCTCATGGCACCTTACCTTATATATCTAGCCTGTCACTTTTCCCACTAAATTTAAGGCTTCCCATTTGACCTCTCCACCATTGTAATAACCAATAAGTATTTTGGCCTTTGCTTTCCTTTCCTTCCCTTCCTTCCTCACTCATTCCCTCCCTTCTTTCTTTCTTTCTTTTTTTCTTTGACACAGGCTCTCTCTGTGTAGTTTAGGCTGCCCTTGAACTCACTTTGGAGCTCAGGCTGACCTCAAATTTGCTGTGATGCATCTGCCTCAGTCTCCAGGGTGCTGGGATTATAGTTTGCCACCATGCTTGGCTTCCCATTTCATTTAATGGTGCAACCATTCACCCATTTGTTCAGGCCAGCATCTAGGAATTACTCTTAATTTCTCCTTTTTCCTTACTCCTCACATCCAATTTACATTCAAGTTACGTGCATCCCAAATTCGGTCATAAGAAAACAAAAGTCAAATAACATGATCCTTACATCGGCAGCAGTGGGTGGGACTGTAAGAGAGGGCTTACTGTGTGATGTTTGAGCTGAATTTTTAGAAGTTGCATGATCAGAGATGGGCAAACTCTATTTCAGACCAAGTGGACTTTATTTTTGAAGACAAATGCTGTTATACAGAATGATTTACTAGAACCTTTTAAGTAGTTTAGTGTGGCTACAATAATTTTTTTTTTTTATAATTAGACCAGTCTAATGAAAAAGATCTATGTCACAAAAGGTTATAAGCTAGAATCTGTCTTTAGTTTGGGTTTGGGTTTTTTGAGGCAAGGTCTTGCTATATAGTTAGGGCTAGTCTTGAACTCACTCTGTAGCCCATGCTGGCCTCAAACATGAGATCTTCCTGTCTCAAACTCCCCAGTGCCTAAGCTAAAGACTTTGAAGCTCTGAAAAAATTCTGGTAAAAATTCTTTCAGTGTTAGTGAGGAGGCTTTAAGTTTGAACCTGACTTGGCCGACAAAATCTTTAGTGAGCTTGAAATAAAGGACTCTAGGTAAGTGTGTACTCTACCATTGAACTGCATCTGCAGCCCAAGGTAAAGAATTAGATCACTTTGGAACTAGTGTAGCTGTAGAGGATGAATTGGAGAAGCAAAACCCAACCAAGACAGACCCAAAACGAGCAGACCAGTTAGGAGACTGTTGTTTTACTCCAGGCAAATGAGGAAGACCTAAACTAGGGAAATGATGTTGAGAAGGAATTGGATATTTTAGAAGTATGACTTGACATACATACTTTGATACTAATTATATGACCTTGAGCAAAAGATCTGTTTACTTGAAATTAAGTAAACAGCTATCAATGCTATTTTTAGTATACTGAGAATAACCTCTGTGTCTCATGTTGAAGTATTAGATGGCTTTGAACTTGTCAAACTTGCTCTGCTTGGGGTGATGCAAAGATAAGATTGAGTGTGCTCATACTATTTCATCTGAGTATAAAAAAAGAGAATTGGTTATCTTTTTATGTTCAGTTGTTTTCCTGCTGAAGTTGTAGACAATGTAGTCCACTAGGTATGGCCTTTAGAAATTATTATTCAAATCATTGTTTCATCTTAGTACGTCGTAAGCAAGTTACTTAACCCTTCTGTTTTCTTTCTCATCGTTACAGAAAAAGCACTGTCAGAGTACCTCCTCAGAGTGTGCTATTTGTGTGAAGATAGGGATATCAGTGGACTTGTTTTCTTGTGAATAAGTACTGTATTTTTGGAATTATTACCAGGGAAGTGATAATCCTGGGATCCTCAAGGAAGAGGGATTTAGTTTGAGGCCTAGTATTAGAGGAAGGCTTTTGTCTGTAAGTCCTTTCTGTATCTTTTGAATTTTGTCCATGTGAATGTTACCAGTTCAAAAGTTAGTTAAAAATATAACTTACATAACTATAGAAGCTGAATAAGTTCATAATACTGAGTGATTAGAATACTTTCTGGAAAATAATAATTGAATAGATGTTGGCTATCATCATGATCTTTATTATCATCAATAAAATTGATAAACTGTGGTTTGAAACCATTAAATATATTGTTCCTCTACTCTTTGTTTTAGTAAGAAAAATTATAGCTGCACCCTATGTGAGCTATGATTAGGACAAGAATTGGCTTACAGGTGAGAGAAGCTGAGACAGTTCTGCAGAATCTCTACTGTTACCTCGTTTCTTCATACTACTTTCTGGGCACCTGAGCAAAATATTCTACGTGCTTAGACCTCTATCATTTCTCCCTGTGCCCTCCCTTCAGGAAACACAAATGTCAGTAGGGCAAATAATGAAAAAAAAAATAAGTGGACTGAAAAGTGGACTGCTTTTTTGTTTTGTTTTGTTTTGTTTTTGAGACAGGGTCTTGCCATGTAGTGTAGACTGGCCTCAAACTCAGGATCCTCCTGCCTCAGCCTGAGTGCTGGGATTATAGGCCTGCCCCACCACACCCAGCTAAAACTGCTGTGCTCTTGAGAAGGTTCTTTCTTGGAGTGTTTTGTAAGTAAGAATATAAAGAATCTCATGTTTGGGTGGGGCAGAAGATGATCTCATGATCCTTTTATACTATTAAAAATTATTGAGGACCCTCTCCCCCACTACCCCTTCCCCAGTTGGAGCTGACCTAAATATAGAGACACAGCCCTGTAGTGCAGTGTTTTTCAAAATGCACATTGCAGTCTTAGTAGGTCACTGTATTAGTTCCCTGAGGCTGCCATAACAAATTACCACAGATTGGCAGTTTAGGGCAACAGAAGTTTATTCTATCATAGTTCTGAAGGCCAGACGTCCCAAATCAAGGTGTCAGCAGCGTGGTACCTCTTCCAAGACTCTAGAGGACAGTATGTTCTTCACTTCCTTCAGCTTCCAGAGGCTGGATGTGCTTGTTGGCTGTGACACTTCAGTCTCTGTGGTCAAGTCACTGGTCTTCTCTCTTAGCCTCTTTCTGTGTTTCAGATCTCCTCCATCTGCCATTCTCTTATAAGGACACTTGTGATTGGATTTAGGGCCCATCCATTTAACCCAGAATGACCCTCTAAAGATTCTTAATTTACATCTGCAAAGACTCTCCAAATAATGCAACAGTCACAGGTTGTAGAGATTGGGCCATAGACATATCTTTTGGGGACCACCATTCGAGCCATTATAGCAATAAATTTTCATGAGAAAATTGAGACAAACTTGTTTTTAATGGAAGAGGACAAAATGTATAGTGCATCAGAGGAAAGATAGTATTTAATGAAATGTATACATGGTGTGCAAGTATATGTATTTGTATATACTAGTTGACGTGTGTAAAATTTTTTATTTGTTTTGGTTCTGGGGATTAGACTTGTAGCCTTTGCAGTGAGCTACATCCCCACACCTTATTTTTGAAAGAGGGTGTCACTAAATTGCCCAGGCTGGCCTCTACTTTGTTATCTTTCTGCCCCATGAGATCACAGGTATGTACTATCATGCCCAGCAGTTAAAATGTATGTCTTACTGTGTTTTTGTTCGTTTTGTTTTTGAGACAGGGTCTTACTATGTAGTTCAGGCTGCCCTTGAACTCACTATGGTAGCCTAGCCTGGCCCCGAGTTCACAGCTATCTTCCTGCCTCAGCATCCAAGTGCTGGGATTACGGGCATGCACCACCATACCTGGCCTTACTGTGGATCTTGGTCAAAAAAGTTTGAAAGCCACTACCTAAAATGAATGACTGCTTTATTTTTTCCACAGGTGAATAAATAGGTACCAAAAAATTCTGTAACATCCCAAGATCACATCAATAATAGAACTAAGCTAGAACCAGCTCTTTTCTGATATACTATGATTTCAACTGTGCCCTACCTCATTTCAAAAAAACTTTATTCATTTATTTGCTTGTTTGTTTGTTTGTGGTACTAGGGATTGAACTCAGAGTCTTCACACTGAGCTACATCTCCACCTCTTTTTTTTTTTTTTTTAAGACAGGGTTTGCCAGGTTTGAATTTATGATACTCCTGCCTCAGCCTCCCAAGTGCTGGGATTACAGGCATATGCCACCATGCTTGGCAAGGCCCACATATTAAAACTGGTTAATTATGGTTTTAAGGTTTTTGTAATCTTTAGCTTCCTCTTCCATTTCTTACCACCTCAACCTGCCTTAAAGCTGTGTGTTGAAGTACTGAGCTGTTTCCCACAGTCTAGACCTGGTTGATTGCATCCTTATGGTGTCATCTGGCAGGTTTCCTTGTCCTCCAAATTTCCTTTTTTTTTTTTTTTTTTCCTCCAAATTTCCATAAATTGCCTGTCTCATCTTTGTTGAACTTAAAATGTGTGTACACTGGGTATATTCTCTAAAATGTATTCTGTAGGTTTTCTAAAGATATTCTAAAAAGCACCCATTGAATATTTGCTCATTTTGTTCACCCATTGAATATTTTGTTCATTTTTTACTCTGTATGTATGTGGCTCTAGGGATTGAACCCTGGACCTTCACACTGAACTACATTCCAAACCCATTTTTTTTATTTTGAGAAAGGGTCCCACTGAGTTACTAAGTCCCCCAGGCTAGACTTGCAGTCCTTCTGCCTCAGCCTTGCAGATTGCTGGGTTTGCAGACATGTACCACCATGCCTGGCTGATTTTTCACTGTTCATAATTGTATTTTCATGTGTCTAAGAATGTTTATTTTTTGCCCATCTGAAAAACAATATTTTTCTAAAAATCTTCCTTATTCATTTATTTATTTATTTATTTAGGTGCCGGGAGTCAAACTCAGGACCTTGCACTTGCCAGGCAGGTGCTATGTCACTGGGGTAAATCCCCGGCCCTTCCATAAACTTAACTGAATTATAGTTAAGACTCCTAATCGAAAATACATATGTCATTATTTCATCCTGCATACTTCCTACCTGCAGAAGGCTTTGGCTTGATCTGTATTTAGCATATTCTGCCACTGTACTGATTGTCTGCTCCCAAGGAAATTGTACAGCACTGATTATATGGCTGGGATTAAAGAGAGAAAGTTTACCAAGCAGCTGAGGGAAAAGATAAGTACAGAGACTGTGAAGTTAAATAAACTTGAGTTTGAATGTGGGCTTTCCCAGTGCTGTATGACTGTGTACAAATTACTTCTGTCTGATTCCTCATTTATAAAATAATGGAGATAATGCCTGCTTCACATAGTGGTTAAAAGTCTAATTCCTTAGTTTACCATACAAAGTGTTGAGAGACTGACCCTTACCTCTAATCTTTCCTCTTGCTGTAGCCGCCCTAACTTGCTGGTGGAGTAGGCCATTGCTGCCTGGTGCGTTGTGGGGTCTTCTGTCTCCCTGCAGCCCAGCCTGCTGCACATGCAGGTCAAGCGCACGTGTACACACACAGTGCTTCTCTAATCTCATCTGCCGTGCCTTGTGCTCTGCTTCTCTCCTTCAGCTCACTGATTCCTGCTCAGGACCGGCATCACTCTTCTGTGTCCTCCACACGCACCTTTGTGTGCTTCTGTGTGTGCCCCAGAGCACCACCTTCCTCTCATTTGTCATTGCACCCATCTCGAGGCATTGTAACAGTCTGTGCTCTTAAGAACCTTGTGTACGGGGACTGGAGTGGGGCTCAGTGGTATAGTGCTTGCCTAGCATGTGTAAGGCCCTGGCTTGGATCCCCAGCACTGAAAAACAAACAAAAAACACCTTGTATGTGAACTCACTGCCACATTCACCATATAGTATTATCGGGCTCCATTTTGTCTCACCTCACCTAGAGCAGTGATGGCGAACCATTTAGAGCTTTCAGTGATAACTAACAGCCCACTGCAGCACATGTGCCATAGGTTTGCCACCACTGCCCTAAGTTGCATTCCTGCAAGACTGCAGCAAATAACCTTCTCAGTCTTGTGTCCTCCTCAGTGTGTTTCAGTCATGTTATGTATATTATTTTTGTTGAATTGATGCTAATAATGGTAACATTGTGTGCCAGCTATAAGTAAGCATTTTTTCATTATTTTATCTGGCTGTAATGTCTGAAGGTTTTTTTTTTAATTTGAAGGTTAAATGAGGTAGCATGGATATATTTTCCCATACTTGACATATTCTTAATAAAATTGTAGCCAGGCATGGTGGCTCAGGCCGGTAATCCTAGCACTCTGGGAGGCCAAGGCAGGAGGATCGCCAACCTGGGCTACGTAGGGAGATGTGCCTATAAATGAATGAATGAATGAATGAATGAATTTGTTAATTATCTTTGCCTGAATTTTGGGACACAGCCTCAGGTTACCTCCAAACTCCTTCTGGACTCCTCCTTTGTTTTTGTTTGTTCTTCAGTTCTCACAGCTCCTTATTCAGAGTAGTAGGCTCAAGTGGTGAGTAAAGAAGTGGTCTCATTTTTGTTTTCCTGGGCTCAACACAGGCTCTGACATGGAGAAAGGGCCATTATAAATACTGAAAGAGGAGAAAGAACTGCTAATTTGCACTTTCTGAGCATTCAGATGGCTGGATATCTGTATGAAAACCCTGAGGACTGCCTAGACCCATCGTTCCTTCCCATCCTCTTTATTCTCGCTTCAGGATGCGTGTGGTGTTCACAGCGAAGATACTCCCTCCAGCCCATGCCTGAGAGGAGGGTTCCCCACCGGTACCTGGGCCAGCCCAGCCCCTTCACACACCCTCATCTCCTCAGACCAGGTAACACTTGGCTTTCCTTTGAGGTACTTTGTCTGGAACAGTGCTAAGGGTTAGAATGTTCTGCACTGATAGAAGTGTTTTAGCTTTGTGTTGTCCTGTAGGGTAGCTGGCAGCCATATATAACCGTTGTACATAGATAATGTTGTTAGTGTGATTGAGGAACTGGTTATTTTATTTTGTTATTTTAATTAATTTAAATTTAAACTTAAGGACTGCTGGGCGTAGTGGCGCAGGCCTGTATTCCCAGCACTCAGGAGGCTGAGGCAGGAGGATCATTGCAAGTTCAAGACCAGCCTGGGCTACACAGTGACCTCAAGGCCAGCCTGAACTGCAGGGCGAGACCCTGTCTCAAAAAGACAAAAAAAAACAAACTTAAATAGCTACATAAGGCTACTGGTTTTGAATTGACAACTAGTCTAAAACAATAAATATAATAAACCTTAACATTTAGAATAACTACTGGCAAGTAAGTTTTGCAGGATGTTTTTTAAAGAAAAGTTCTATTACTACATGGGTAATAGTTTCTAGAACTGTGTTCTAACTTTTGATTATGGGGGCTGGGAATTTAGCTCAGTGATACAGCGCCTGCCTGGCAAGTGCGAGGTTGTGAGTCTGATTCCTGGTACTGGAAAAAAAAAAAATACAATTATAACTTTTGATTATGAACCACTGACAAAAACGTTAGAAGACATTTTTAAAAACATTGTTTTCTTGAAAGTGTTAAATGTTCATTTCAAAATTTTGTTTGAGAGAAATATTTCTATATAAAATAAGCAAGATTTCCAGATGTTTGTCATCACTTTGAGTGGTGGCTGATATCAGTTAATAAAGGTGATACAAAAATTGATAAAAGTTTATTTCATTAATTCTTTTCTGCTATAGGATCCCAGGTTTTGCTGCTAGAAGATGTGACATTACTTTTGCTCAAATTAAGACCTAAAGGTGTTTTTGTTTTGTTCTTTAAAATATACTTAAGGGATGAACAATGGGAAATGAATACCATCCCAAAGGAGTAGGTTAGAGTCAGACCTAATGCTTTGGACAGAAAGAAGTCAGGTTTTCAGGGAGAGTTGATTGTTCCTCCTGCCACAAGAAGGTTACCCTGTTATTTACTGTGTAGGCATATTATTAACAGTGTACATTGCCATTAGAAATATGTTACTCTTTCACTGTCTCCACTCAGTGAGTGATACCAGTGTGTGTCTCAGTGAGGGCTTCCTGTTGCTGATTCTTCATCAGACTGGAATTCCTGCTGGGAAGTCGGCTGAGACTCAGAAAATGCAGCTCACCACTGAAACACACAAGAAATCAGAGTTTTTCAAAGCTGTAAGGTAAGCTACTAAGCAGCCAAGTTCTTACGGATTTAAGTATTTCCCTACCCTAAGAATCTACCTGTAGTCCCTATTAAAGAAAGAAAAAAAAAAGTGATACTGTGTTTTACCAGCTTTGAAAATTATTGATTTCTTGTGGTGAGATACATTTATATGGTGAACTGCATTTTCTGAGCCTTGAACCTAGTAATCATGTTGTCAGGATAATGGGCTCTACATTTATACTGCTTTGTTGATTGCATTATGTGCTAGTTGACGATTTTTGAAAAGTTCGTAGTTGGGTGTGGTGGTGCATACCTAGAAGGCTGAAAAGGAGGGTCACAAAAGGGAGACCCTGTCTCAAAATAAAATTTTTAAAAGGGCTAGAATGTAACTCAGTGTGTGTAGCCTGGGTTCAACACCAGTACTGCCAAAAAAAAAAAAAAAAGACAAAAA